CCATCTGCTGCTTCTCAGACCCCACCAGCAGGGAGCAGGGACAGTTCCTGATCTCCCAGTTGATCTGGGCTCCCATTGCACTCCAAACCACTTGGCCTTAGAGCTGGAGTGGAACGCTGGGACTTCAGGGTCCCACAACCCACTCTGAGACTTACAGCCATGCTAGGGCCCAGGAGGACCATGGCAGACCTGACATACTTACTTCTCAAAAAATGTATGATGTAACTTATTTCCCGCAGAGGCAGGATTCCCGAGACCGTGTGTCTTTCTGTCTCAGAGGCAGTCAGTGTGGCTCCAGCTCCTTTCCAGGCTGCCTGGACCCTCAGCCATCAGCCTAGACCTAAGTTCCTCTAAGACATGCCCTTGGGTGCCCTGGGTTGAGATCATCAGAGGTGCTTGTTAAAAGGCAGGTTCCTGGGCCTCACTCCAGCACCCCGTGCCCCCCTGGGGGCATGTGGAAACCTGCAGTTGGGTGAGCGCTGTGTGATCTGTGTGTACTGTGGTCACAGGTCAGGCCTGAGTGGAATGGTTCCGCCCTGGGGGTTGAGGGGACAGCAGGGGCATCCAGTCCTGGCTCTGTCTACACCAGCTGTGGGACCTTGGGCAGGTTATAGCTCTTTGGGCTGGGTCTGCTCACCTGGAAAATGGGGCTAACATGTGCCTGAGGGGACACTGGGGCTCTTGCCTGTGTGAGGCTTGGCCAGTGTCTGGTGCGTGGGGGACACTCACTGTCTGTGCTCCAGCATCTCCTTATTATGGGAGAAACTGTTTGTGAGCTAAAATTTAAGCCTATGGGAACCCGCCACTGAAATACATTTTCTAGTAGGAATGTTGGGTGTGCACCCTGCCACCGGATGGCCCACCAGATGTTACCCCACTTTCCAGAGGGGGAGACTGAGGCTTAGGATGGTGAAACGCCTTGTTGAAGCTTGTCCATGCAACTAAGTCATGCTAGATAGAGCCACTCTGATGTCACTGCCTCTAAAAGCTGCCAAGTCCTCCCTGACTCAACCACACAGCTCGGCTCGGAGGGACTGACTTCTCCATTAGTTCGGGGCCTGTTTATATGTCCATTTTTACCTTTAATTATCTCCTGGTTTAAACTGAGTTCTCCCCTGCGTTAGCAAGAGGGAGGGGCCGTGCCTGAGTGTGCCCTGGCTGTATGGACTCAGAAAGGTGGGCATGCTGGTGTGACTTAACCAAGTGATCTTTGCTGGCCTCCAGTCATTCCCTCCAGGGCTGCCTGTGTCCTTCTGTGGGCCCTGCCCCATGAGGCTTGCCTATAGGACACTGCAGGGAGGCCTCCACCGACACCCTGCCCACCCAGTGAGGCTCCTCCCTCCCTGGCCTCAGCCCTCACTGAATCACCTGCTTGGCAGAGGGAGACTGACAGGGAAGCTAAAAGCCTGGCTGGGCTGCCGCCTCGGGAGCAGCCCAGAGTCGTATTTTGTAAACTGCTGGCGCTGTGTATTTCTATTTTCCTTCCACGAATGGGCTATTATCTGGCAAGTGACAGGTTCAGTGTATGCAGACCTGGCTGGCTCCACACTCACTCACTAGCTTGCTTGCTGGCCAGCTACAGTCTGCCTGTGACCCTCCTCCCCCAGCGTGGTTTTATAGCCTCCTGGAGCCCAGACCCTTCAGTCTGCGGGAGGTGGGGGGGTGGGGGGGGAGGGCAGGAATGCACCTGAGTCCAACCCCCTTCAAGGAAAGGGTGAGAGTCATACAAATAGATGACATTGTCCAGGCTCCCAAACACAGGTTATCCTGACTCCCTGGCCTCAGAAAGACAGGTCTCATCACCCTGCTTTGTGGAGGTCCCTGTTCCTGGGTCACTCAGATAGTGAGTAGGGGGAGGGGACTGGAGTTAAGACACGGCAGCCAGTGCCAGAGCCTGGGTCCAGACTACACCCTGGCCCTCTCTGCTCCCCAGTCTCACTTTATGAGGACGTAGCTCTGGCTCCTTTCTGGCAGCCAACCCTGGGGAAGTGGCCTAAGTCCTGGTCCCCATCCTGTCCCTCTCAGGAGCCTTTCCTTCTGTGCCTCAGTTTCTCCATCTGTAACAAGGAGATGACAACTTCAAATCCCACCTCTTTGCAGCACTGTGGGGGTCCTGGTGAGGTCGTGGACGTCAGAGAGCCATGGAAACTCAAAGTGATGTTTGCAGGTGGGAGGAGGGTGGGATTGGGGGATCCTCCAGCCTCAGGGCAACCACCCCCTTTTCCAACTGCACATCAACCCCCACTGCCTGGGCGGCCCTGCTGAGGATTGGGAGCGGCAGCTGGGACTGCTCAGGTGCTGTACTGATCCACAGGACCGAGCTGCCCCAGGCCTGGTGCCGTGCTGGGCTGTCTGTGTGGTGTCACCATGGTCCCCTAGCAGTTGGGGCAGCACAACCATGTTGGGAAGATGTGGCTCAGACTGGCCTCTTGCCCTCCGTCCCGTCACTAGCATGTGGGCAAGCTGGGTTGAAGCCAGGTTTGCCTGATACCAGGGGCTGCCTCGGCACTCCTTCTCCAGCCCATCTGGCCCTGGGCTGAATACCCAGAGGTGGCCAGAGAACAGAGCCTGGGGGTGGGTACCTGTTGAGACCCTGTCCCTTCCCTCCTGCACTCCTGCCCTCTGAGCACTGGAGGTCCCAGAGCATAGTATTCATCACAGCTTAGTGGCCCCCTTAGACCATCTTACACAGGTGCTTTGGGGCCAGAGCAGGGTGAGGGCTGCCATTGAGCCAGGAGCTCTTGATAGGGGAAGGCTACCGTGGCCCATGCCCCTCAGCTCACCCAGCTCTGTGCTTCACAGCTTCTCTCTGAGAGCCAAGGCCACATGGCTCACCTGGTGAACTCGGTCAGTGATGTCCTGGATGCTCTGCAGAGGGACCGGGGGCTGGGCCGGCCCCGAGTCAAGGCCGACCTTCAGAGGGCACCTGCCCGGGGAGCCCGGCCCCGGGGCTGTGCCGGCGGTGAGTGGGCAAGGGCTGTGCCGGTGGTGCCTCTGTGCCCAGCCCTGGGGATCAGAGAAAGCTTGAGCGAGGGTTACCCCACCACAAGTTACCCATGGCCCAGGCCCAGCTTTGTCTTCCATTCCCCCCACCCCCGCATTTTGGTAAGGTCGGCAAGGGCTTCCTGCAGGCCAGGGAGCACCTTCCCCCCACCTCCCACTGAGCCCTCTCAGCCCATTTTCCAGACAAGGGAAGTGAGGCTGGAGAGGTAGTTCACTCACCCAAACCCACCCAGGGAGGGGCAGAGCCAAAGTCTGACTCAACCCCACGTGACGACACGTGTGGCCCTGCAGTGGACAGACAAGTCAGAGGGCCCAGAATGGGGTGGGTGGGGACACAGGGCCTGGTGCAGCTGTGCTGACGGGCCTGGCCTATCTCAGGTTCTCGGCCCCGGGACTGTCTGGATGTCCTCTTGAGTGGACAGCAGGACGATGGTGTGTACTCTGTCTTCCCTATCCACTACCCAGCTGGCTTCCAGGTCTACTGCGACATGCGCACAGACGGTGGCGGCTGGACGGTGAGTCTGCTGGGCTATGTGGTGGGCAGGACAGGCCTGGGGTAGCCCAAAGTAGCCTCCCACTGTGGGCAGACCCTGTCCCAGTTCCCTTCTGCCTAATCTCCACCCCTACAGAAACCTGACCTGGAGAGAAGGGTTTGTGAGCTGACCCCAGGGGGCCCACCCAGGGCAGACCTGCTCAGGGGCCACCTATTGCACTCTGAGCCAACCTGGTTCTTTGGGGGAGGGGTACTGGGGTTGGGTCCTGGGATGACACCTGACACCAGGAACCTGTTGCTAACAGGAGTTGAAGGGCCCACATGTTGAGTGGTCTGGTTCAGGGCACATGTGCAAAAGGAAAAAGAGTGACAGCTGGGAGCCGAGACCCCACGGCTTCCCTACCTCCCGAGTCCTGCCCAGGAGGGAAAACGCAGCAGTGAAACATCCCAGCTGCCAGTCACAGGGCAGGGATGGCTACAGGTGCAGGGAGAGGGGTTTGCAGACCCCAGGGCCCGTTCTGTTCTGGGAGCTGGGTCTGCACTTTGCGTCTGCAAAGGACCACGTGGGAGTGTCTTAGGTTTGCGGTCCACACAGTTAGCTGTCTCCAGAGGTCTCGGTGATGGCACCTGCATGCTGCCTTTGCAGGGGACACAGCCACAGAGAATGCAAAAAGGCACGGGTGTGGCTTTGCTCCAATTATGCTTTAGTTGTAGATGCTGAAATTTGAATTTCATAAAATGTTCACATATACTTCCTCAAATATTACTCAGAGGATATTTAAAATTTTTTCTTTTTCTTTTAAAAAACCTCTTTAAAAGCTCAAATAATTCTTAGCTCATTTGCTGTATGGAAACAGGCAGCAGGCAAAAATTGTCCACAGGTGTGGCTTGCTGACCTCACTTCTGGAACTGAGGATTACTGAAATTACTAACAGTGGGACCTAGGCTTACTGCCCCTTCTCCAAATTGGTGGGCTTCTGACCCTCTCCTGAGGCTCAGGCTTGAGATTGGGCTTTTAGCAGGGCCTCCACTAGCCTGTGGGTGATTTTGTACAAATTTAGCAAATGCATGTCCATTCCTTTATGCATAGTGGGGTGCTGGGCTTGGTGAAGAGAACAGATCTGAGCTCTGCCCTGTTGGCTGGGTGCCCTTGAGCAGTGAACAACTTGCACCACTGTCTCAAGGTCTTTGTGCCACCCTGAAAGCGGCATAGCCTCCACCCGTACGTTGTGGTTGGGATACTCTTTGCCAGTGGAAAGCAGGACAGTAGAACTGGCTGTTTAAGGATTCTCAGCTTCACACTTAATTTCAGTTGACATTTTTGAGCTCCTACTGAATACTAGAAAGTGGGGAAGCACAGAGATGGGGAAGCCCCTGTCCTAGTTCTTCCAAGGAACATAAGTCTGTGGGGTTTGGAGGTGGCAGAGGTGGGGGAGGCTTTGTGAAGCTTCCTAGAGATGGTGGCACTTCTATGAGTCGTAGTGGTGGGTATGGCCTCGTGCGAGTATGTGCAGGAGAGAAGGTGTTCTGGGAAGAGGGAGCAACCTAGCAAGGATCCCGCAGCACATTCAGGGACCAGTCAACTGGGATGTGCGGCACATGCAGAGACGAGACTAGAGTGCTAAATGTGTCAGCCTGTGGGGTTTGGAACGGGCACTGGGGAGCTGTCGAGGGTGATGCAGAGAGGAAAGCTGGGCTAAGAACTGTGCTTCAGGAGCCACAGCCTGCGTCCCTGGGCACCATGGGGAGCGAAAAGGGGAGGAGGCATTTTGTGCACTCAGGCCTGTGATGGAGCCCCTCCACCATCCACAGACAGCCCTGGGTGTGGCTCTCAATCCTGCTGCGTGACCTCAGGCAAGTTAGTTTAGTTCTCTGAGCCTCAGTTTAACCACCTTCAGCACTTAGAGCTCTGCACTGCAAGCAACAGAAAGCGTCCAGTGAAGCAGAGGAGGATGGTACCTGAGGGAGACTGGGAGGCCTGAGAAGCCAGCCCAGGGCCACTCACAGGAATGGAGGCCCCCACTGCCCTGGTGAGAAGCCTACTGCCACAGGGTTGTGCCACTGAGGGCTGGATGAAGCCAGGCCTGGGCATGGGCCCCCACCCCTACCCCCGATGGATGTGGGCCTGGGGTGCAGTCTCTCATGCTTACTTTAGGGGAGATCCCTCCCATGCTGCTTCTTGGCTTCCCCAGCTGTTGATTCAAGGTCAGCACATGCTTCCAACTGGTGGGTCCTGGTCACACATCTATAGTCCTCAGTGCAAGCAGCTGGCGTTTTAGCAGCTATGGCAGGAATCATTCATGCCTACTGCCGAACCTCAGAAGATGAGGAAGGACAGACAAAAAGATGCATGTTCACTTTAGCACTCCATGGGCCTGATCTGGGCTTCTACCACCAAGCGCCTGTGGTCAAGCATTTCATAGGAGATCTGGCAGCTGTTCGGTCACTCTTTCTGCAAGACTCCGGCTACCCCACGGTGACCCTGCCTCACTGAGCCCCACCAGGAGGGAATCCACAGTGGTTCAGGAGGTGGGAAGCTGAAGCCATGGGAGGTGGGGTCCAGGTAGAAGCTTCCCTTGTCTCTGACCTTGGACTTGGGGCAGGAGGAGAGGCCAGAAAGATCCTCAGTTCCTTGCCAAGGAGCTTGGCCTTGACCATTTTTGGTGTATTGATGCTCAGGCTGCAAACTGCCAGGCGGTAAAACCAGTGCCAGAGAGAGAGGAGAGACAGGGCGGCTTCTGGAGGGGAAGGACATGTGGTGGGAATAAAGGCACAGCCTTGGCACTTTGGAAAGGGGTCAGCAACCCAGAGCAGGGTGAGCACATGGACGCCCAAGCCAGGCAGGCGGAGGAGGCTGAGGGGAGCTGGCAGGGTAGAACTGGCCATATTGGGGCCAACGTGGGAGCAGGATACTGAACACCCCAAACACAGACGTGGCTCTAACCCTGCCTTCAGCTCTGGAGGAGAGCTTTTAAATGTACTGGATCGGCGTCTGGGGGTTAAAAGCTCTTTTGTTTTCCTAACTGCAAGAACGGCTGAGTTATGGCGCTTGCCACTGGGAACCCCTCAGCACAGAACAGTGAGAGGCACCAGCCGGACTCAGAAATCAGAGTTAAGGGTTAGGACAGGCGTAATGAAAGATCGAGACATTGGTGCTGGCCATGCCTCTTCCACTCCAGTGGACTTGAAGTCAGTCTCCCAGGAAGTCAGCCAGGATTCGGGCCAGGAGGTGGGTAATTCCCAGGCATGGCATTAGTCAGGGTGATTGCAGGGGGTGCATGAGAAACAGCACCTCGCTAGCCCCAGCACTCAGACTCCTGGTCTGGGGCTCTGGGAAGGAGCCCCTTCTCATCTGAAAAGTGCTTACATGACAAGTAAACATTAATATCCATTCAGGGTTTCATCAAAAGCAGTCCTTTCCCCGAGAACCTCCAGACATCTGTCAGGATCACTTCCCTGCCACACGGATTTTCTCTGAAACTCAATTTTTGTTTGGGAGAAAGCTGGTGCCGCCTCTCCACACCCGGACATCATTCATTGTCGTTAGGCTTCACATCCAGCCGGCTGGGCCTCAAGCACTGGTGCTGGACGCTCCTTCCTTGGAGAATCCTGGAGCTCAGGGCCTGGGCAGTCTGACCAGAGCCTTTTCCCAGAGAGGCTGGAGTGGGCAGGAACGGAGCTTGGCAGCTGCCCGCCCGAGGTGCACTTGACAGTTTCTGTGCCCCTGCCCTACCTGGCCTCGCCCTGGGGCCCTTCAACTCCTGGAGGCTGCAAGGCAGCCTAGGAGAGGGCCAGAGATTTGCCCAGGCCACATCCTCAGGCCTCCTGAGCCCCAGCAGGTGCCCCTCAATGGTGACACTCACTTAATCAAGTGTTCAAACACTGAGCACCAACACCCAGCCAGGCTCAGGGCAGTTGGTAGGGAACATGACAGGCCAGCCTGCTCCTGGCCCAGTGGGACCAATCAGTCGACTGTGTCAGAGCTGAGGGGCTATGGGGGTGCTCAGAGGAGAGGCCCTACCCTGGTCTGAGCCCACCAGAGCCAGATGGAAGATCTGAGTGCTGGGGATGCAGCAGGTGACAGGCAGAGAGATGACAGGGCTTGTTCTGGGGCCAGGGTGGCTGCCTGCTTCTGGCATATCTGTGTGAGGCGTCTGGGTCAAAAGAAGGCAGAGGAGGCAGCAGGGGCTGGGTGGTGCGGGTGACCCTCCTGCCCCTCCATGACACCAACCTGATGCCAGGGTCACCCCATTGGCATCTGCTGGCACCCTTTGGCAGTGCAACTTCACTTCTTTAAACTTCACTTTTCTCATCTGTTAAATGGGTATAATGTAGGGCTGCTATACCCACGTGGAGAAAGTCAGAATCCTTCATAAATTTCTTATTCAGGAGGGAGGAGGCCAGGAGGAATGAGCCAGGAGGCTCCCTGTGAATGGAGGAACTTGGCCACCAAGGTCTGCAGGCAGTGCTGCCACCCAGGTCTAACCACTAATCCTCTGTCTTTGAATAATCACCGACCAAGGTCATAGCGTTGGGTCCAGTTTAACATCTCTACCAGCAGGGACCTGGAGTAGACTCTGTGACTCCAGGCCCAGGTGCTCTGATCCATGGCATAGCCAGTGTCCCTCCGTATCTCAAGCAGAGTGGCCCAAACTGTTCTGCCTGCACCCCGATCCACTAGGCATCTCCCTGCATTCAGGGTCAGCAGGCTCAGCTGTCCTCTGATTGGCCCCACTGGAGGGGCAGCCCTCCTTCCCAACACCCAGTTTCCTCCCTGCCTGAGCCCTCACATGGGAACATCAAAGAAGCCTGTGATGGGATCCAGCTCAGAGAGGGAGGAACAGCTCTGGGGTGCCGCTGGGATGGGAGCTGCAGCCCTGTGCTGGGGAGGCTGGGCAGCAGGGCCTCAGGGGCCCACAGAGGGGACACTGACTCCTTCCTGTGGCCAGCTCTCCCCATCCCAGGGTCTGCTGTGGGCCACAGTGTCACCACACTGCTGCATGGCTCACACGCTGCCCTGGA